AATGGATGCATCGCTTGTTGATGAAAATATTCCATGTACCGGCTCCTATGACCCTGATTTTATTTGAAAAGTATCAAGATACCATCTTATTTAAGCTATTTGACAAAGAAATCTCTTAAAATATATTTGAATATTTGATGTCTTCATCTTTAGGAGGTTTTTGTTCTTTGCAAGTAATGCATTGTCAGTCATTACGAACGGGCCTTTTGAAAGGGTGGTCGGTGGAAACTCAGGCTCCTTCCTTCCTGTCTTTTTCCACTTCATTTGATGTTAGATGTGTTTAAATGTTGTTTATGATTTGCTTCTTCTTGTGTTGTTCTTCAACGCTGAGTTTTACTACATTTATTTTGTACACGTTTTGAGTCTTATCAAGCTTCTCCTTCTCTTAAACAACAGTCCAAATGATAGCCCAGCTACGTGAATATGTGAGATTGAATAGATTTGCTAATTATATCCTCCTCAAACAATTGAATGCTCCAAACAAGGCTGCATTCCTGGCGATTTTGGAATTGGAAGATTCATTTCCTTTCAGTTCTGTAAGCCGAGTCCTCAGCGTCACAAGACCCCATGTCCAAAAATATGTTCACTAAAATTATGTTGAAAACTTAGAGACTACTGCCATCAATGTTTTTTTAATGTCACAATGTAACAAGTGTAAATACATAGAGCACAAACTGATTAAAAGTCCATTTATAGATTCTCGATGGCAAGAGCATTACGCTGCGGATAAATCTAAACATCCTGTACACCAAATCAAACGTGAACACATCGGCCAGCGAATGTGTTTATCTAGGATCCTTGACCCTGCCGCAATCACATAAACAACATCATCCAAAGTACCATAGCCAAAATGTGTGTAGGTTAGACCTTCAACAAGATGCAGTCGAGCTTTCCGGTGGGCCCCATTGAAGCCATGTTCTGTAGTGCAGCCGGATGAAGCATTACTCTCAACTATTACAAACTCTGTACTATTACAAAAGTAAGAAATTCATGAAGGCTAATAACCAATCCATGGTCGTAGTGCCTAGTCACCCGAAATCCAAGTTCCTGCAGTGAGTTTCACGGCGGGTTATTGCGATAGCTCTGAAGGTATACTCTGAAAGAACAACCTAGCCACTCCACGACACCAGACTGTTTTGCTAGGACTTGCAGATCTGCCACTTCATTTCTATGTTCGCTTGGCCGCAGGTCTTCCAACTCAAGACGACGAATCCATAGATCGGAATGGACAATAATTCTCGGCACCCAAAAGTCAGATGTAGAAGCAGCAGCAGTAGCTGCTGCGCGCTATGACGTGCAACAGCCGCACGAAGAGTTTCTGTTCGCCATCCAGTTGGACAGTAATGCGGCGAAATCTGCCACTTGCACGATCCGGTCAAATGGATCCAGAGATCCAGAGGCTTTCTCTGTTATACTATTTCCGTTACTTCACCTTCCTTCCGAGCTGGCGGGCTCATCTCAGAGAAGGCACTCGGGCACTTGTTGTGGTCACTAATTCCACTATCTATTCTGCACGACGATTGCCATGACAAGTCCATCATGCACAAGTCGAACGTGTTATAATATTGTATACAGATTCTCATCCATCTGTCTTCCGGACGTAGCAGTAATTCACGACCTTAATTTTAAACGCTTGGGACATCTCAACCTCACCTGCATAATTATCGTCTCTTCTTAGCTCGAGGAAGCTGTAAGATTGCCTAAATAACGATGCTTCTTTGATACGCAAGCTAAGTAGATTTCCCCGGATTGTTTCCTGAAACTCGTTATAGAGTCGGAAACCATGCGTAGTGTTCCTGAGATCAGTTATGCTAAAAAGTGAAGATTGTGTGCAGCAAATTGAGTTATTCAAATGCCGCCAGTCGATGACGCATTCTCACATGACAGTGTTGGCAGAAACATCAGGAGGCAATAAACAAGGCAAAAATGGTCATGTTCAACTAAGCTTGAACAGAACAGAACAGAACCGGATCATTTGCAGCAGAGTCCATGATAAGACTTGGTGGCATCAGTCACATTGGTTGGCCTGTAGAAGGTCAAAGGTCTGTTAGATCAGTATAAAGCCGCCGTTATAAGATGGATCGTGAGATGTTTCAATTTCAGAGATCCAAGTCCTTAACCAATAGCAGTTCCGGCAGACTGAGCAAGTGACAAAGAGACGTATGCGAATCTGAGCAGAAAACATATTTTCCTGGATTTCTAGAAGCTTTTTAACCGTTGAAGGGCAATAGCAGTATGTTCTGATACCTCTTCGACATGCAGACTCATTCTGAGTGCATTTAAAATCTCCTACTCAGCAGAACTAGGGAAAATTTGAACCTAGGAGATTTCTTGAAGATTTTTTTAGCCAGAAGACGAGCTCCGATCTCATGTCAGTTTGATACAAGTACACCCAAACCCAACAATTCCAAGGTAATGCAGTACCAACTTAAGCTGTTGTTCTGGATTGTGTAGCATCCAAAACGTTGTAAGTATACGATATACCATGTGCAAGAGCGCAATCTAGAGCACTTCAATGACTCATTGCTGCCCATTCATGCTGACGTAAAGCCACTTTCGCTGGATCAACTGAAGTCTGTAAAACTCGCAGGAACGGGTCTCACTTCAGCGAAAAGGTCGCGCGAGATGGATCGATCCAGTCTTCAGGTCAGAGTGGAATTTGCTAAAGCTACACATCCTAAAGACCTCGCACACTGCAGACTGCATTCTCGTCGGCAACTGTTACACGCTAATTCTCTTGAAGTCTTCAGACCAAAGGATTTGTCTGAAGACGAATCCTTTTCGTTCGACTCTGTAACAACATTCTCCTGGAATTTAGGAAGGAGGAAGTTCAGTGTAGTTTTACCAGAGCAACCTTGACCCATGGAGATGAAACTCTTACTCATTGATGTGTAGATGTCTTCAAGCCAAAATAGAAGTGTAACGTGCGAGCTTGGTCCCACGCTCAGGATGCCTGATTTCTTCTGCCGTAGCACGGTTCGAGTTCGTGTAGCTATCGAGCTCACTTATGCTTGCATCGTGCTTAAATATTGGTGTAGTGTTTGTGTGTGCTCATTGAGAAGGGATTACGCACTTTAAAAATAATTCTTATGTACCCGAGGAATGTGTGTGTTGCTCGTGTACATGCCGAACACGGGAATGGTGCTGGAAGCTAGAAACTGAATACGGGGAATCCGAAAAAACTACTGATAGAAGTAAAAAAACATCCCCAAACAATTATTGCAATTATTCAGCAAGTCATATTCTAGTAGGCTACTCATGACATGGAGGGTTGCACAAATTCCCTCCCTGTACAGTTCACTCCATTCTTAGGAATGCAGCACACCGTGAGACCCTTTGGCCGAATCCTCACTGTCCAGTCAACATTGTTGAATCAGTCTCACTAAGGTTTCACTAATCACTGAAGAGCATGAATTACATACCCACATCCGCAAACCCACCTGTCCGATCGTTGAATAAGTCTCGCTGCCCATTTCTATCGATGACTGAAAGTGAATGACAGAGTCTATCTCCCACCTGTCCCACCGCCATATTTTGGGCCACTCGAATTGATCCGCTATGGCTCGTGCAACCTTCCTCTTGGCACAAAGGAGACAATTTTTGGGATATTTGACAGGCTTTCACATTTGCAAAAGCACTTGTAACAAGTTGTATGGCCTCTAACAAGAGGCTCACTCGTCACTTTCATATTGGTTTCAGCTGCATGGGAAAAAAATATCTGCTGCATAGAACCTAGAGCCTGTACTACGAACGTAGGTCATGTAACCAACGTAGAAATCCAAGCTTGCGTATGGAGGCAAGTTGATAATCTTCCCATTGCCTTCGGAGTCCATTTGTCCATGGGAACTGAATGTAAAAATTGGATAGTGAGTCAGCCCCAAATTCAATGATGGTCATCAACTAGTTTGAGCCAAAGTCAGAAAGGCACCGGTTTCAAATTCTTCCTCCAGAAGTTTAGATATGAAACCTCAAAAGTCTGTGAATGTATGTATCTTTTGTTTACTTTCATTCACTAAATATTATTACATCATATTAGACATCGGGCGTTTGTTGAAAGTACATCGGAGGGTACATCTTGACTACGACCGTAAGAAGTGCATCCAGATTCTCCAAAGAGTCTTATCTACTTTTATAATAGAATACAATCTGTATGGAGTGGGCCCGGTGACCTGGTTATCCATCCTCTCGATGCGCTTCTTGAGGAGACTGATGCAGGAAGGGATGCTTAAGAGCGTAAACTTTACCTTGCGTGCATTGCGCACTGAGGTATGACGGATGCGGATATTTAGGGCGCCGCGAGCAGAATAGTTGACTAGGTTGAAGATTCGGGCCGAAGGTCCTCTGGCCATGGGGAGACTGTTAGAAAAAAAAGGGCTTCCATGGTTGTGGTAGCAATCCTTCTTCAGGTCATGGTGTGAAACTCGTCCCAGAACCAAATCAGAGGAGCAAGCTTAGACAGTTCAGTCATCAAGCTTAAGCGAAGTAGATTGGAATATTTAGTCTCCCCTATTTCCAATGGATCTGGCAAGAAAAGTCATGCCTGTACATATGCAGATGTGAATACCGTAAGTTGCAAAATGACGGGAAGGACACCCGGCCACGAAGTCAAATATGCCTGGTCTATTCCACAGTCCAACAACTTGCATCGTAAATTGTATGAGACAACTCTGTTGACTTTCTGGCACCCGTACCCGAGAGTCTCAGCCGTACAAGGTATGATGGTCCCAGGCACCGTCAACCTCTGTATCACCAATTCGTGCAAGTTCTTTGAATGGGTCAACGACTTTGAATCTCCGTCACACAAGGCCCTAATTCTGACTGGGATGGCTCACTTGATTCGGTGCTAAATTAAGAATGGGTAGGAAGACGCCCCAGGTAGTGTCCAATCATGAGCTACAGTCCAGAACTCTGCTCGATCAGCCTCACATGGTGCGAGGCGAACCACGCTCATTCCATGTCCTTTAAAAGCCCGAGAAGTTGCTTTCATCAAATGTGGAGTACCAGTTCACAGCTGGTTCTCGAACGCTCCCGTCTGTTAGCCTTCTCCAGGATAGCATTCGGGGTTGAAATTAGTATAAAAATTATCTCAGATCATCATCTGTTCTCTGCCTATTACCTCTCACCGCTACGAGATCTTAGAAGATAAACGCAGAATTTGTCGACAACATCTCGGTGCTGCAGATCTAGATACGAAATAGTTTGGTTACATTGCAGCGTACTTGCTATGTGGGAAAGACCAGGGGCAATCGACATGTCTCTCTTAGGTGCAGGCTGGATGGCAGAGCAATTAGAAAGGGTGCTGCCAGGTTCGTCTGCGGCCTTGACGACGCAGAATGTTCTGTATGGACTTCTGGTGGCAACGCTGATGGTGATTCTGATCATGGAACTGAGAAAAGAGAGGCTGAACCTTCCTCCCGGACCTCGCGCCGTGCCCATCTTCGGAAATTGGCTTCAGGTTGGGGATGATCTGAATCACCGCAATCTGGCCGAGATGTCGAAGAAGTACGGCGATATTTTTTTGCTGAAGATGGGGGTGAAGAACTACGTGGGGATCTCGAGCCCCGACCTGGCGAAGGAGGTTTTGCACACGCAGGGAATCGAGTTCGGGTCCCGGACGAGGAACGTGGTGTTCGACATCTTCACAGGGAACGGGCAGGACATGGTGTTCACTGTGTACGGCGAGCACTGGAGGAGAATGCGAAGGATCATGACAGTGCCCTTCTTCACCACTAAAGTGGTTCAGCAGTCTCGATTCGCCTGGGAGGATGAGATCAACCATGTGATCAAGGATTTGAAGGCAGACCCGGAGGCGTCCACCACGGGCTGCATCATCCGCCGCAGACTTCAGCTCATGATGTACAATGTCATGTACCGAATGATGTTCGACAGGCGATTCGAGTCCGTGAAGGACGAGCTGTTCATCAAGCTGTCGACGGTGAATCGCGAGAGGAGCCAGCTTGCGCAGAGTTTCGATTACAATTACGGTGATTTCATCCCCATCCTGAGGCCGTTTTTGAAGAAGTACCTGGCTCGCTGCCAGGCGCTCAAGGACAAGAGACTGGCCATCTTCAAGGAATATTTCATCGACGAGCGCAAGAAGGTGCTAGCTGCCAGGGAGGCCAAGAGGCAGGCAGGCGAGAAGGTGGCGATCGACTTCATCTTCGAGTCCGAGCAGAAAGGGGAAATCAATGACGACAATGTGCTGTACATCGTGGAGAACATCAACGTCGCCGCCATCGAGACGACTCTGTGGTCCATCGAGTGGGGAGTCGCGGAGCTGTGCAACAATCCACACATGCTGAAGAGGATCCGCGCAGAGCTCGACTCCAAGCTTGGCCGCGGCAATCTGATCACCGAGCCGGACATTCCTCGATGCGAATACTTGACGGCTTTTGTGAAGGAGGTCATGCGCCTGCACATGGCCATTCCCCTGCTGGTGCCTCACATGAATCTTAATAAAGCCAAGCTGGCGGGTTACGACATTCCAGCCGAGAGTAAGATCTTGGTGAACGCGTGGTGGATCGCCAACAACCCCAAGTACTGGAACGAGCCCGAGAAGTTCAACCCCGACCGCTTCATGGACGAATCGATCGAAGCAACCGGAGCCGATTTCCGCTTCCTCCCCTTCGGTGCCGGAAGGAGGAGCTGCCCCGGCATCATCGTTGCCATGCCCCTCCTGCACTTGGTTCTAGGGCGGCTGGTCCAGACTTTCGACTTCTCTCCTCCACCCGGCGTCGACAAGATCGACATGACTGAAAAGGGCGGACAATTTAGTTTGTTCATCAAGAACCATTATAACATCGTCGTTACAGATAGGAAGGACTGATTTCTCCATCGATCCGAACTACTGTCCGGACGAGCACTAGCTTAATTGTTCGTATGATTCATCTTATATTCGATAGCTTTGTATAAAGTCGGCTTGGGACCTGTAATATAAAAGATCGTGGACCCATCATCAGACGCATGAAGATTACTTGTTACATCTTGTGATTGGAATTATTGCACTGGTTACACATTGTTATGTTTGTCCATTACATTGTTTCGCTCCTTCCAGTTACATTCTTGTTCTCGGATCATCCGAGCAAGTTTCAAGTATCGACTGGAACAAATTCTCGGTCGTTCTCCATCCGTAGGTCAGCAAATTGGTCGAGACTCTGTTTGCCCCCTGTCCTAGAGACAAGAATAATGTAGAACACTAAGCAGGATAAAGGATCAAATGTGCATCACGCTGCGGTGTCTGACAGTGACGTAAGTTGGCGTTGGAATCTAGTGAGCAAGTAAGATCTGGGGAGGCTGAATTTAAGGATGACATCATCATGACAGATGCATCGGATGATACAGATGTAGATGATTCCATGACCACTGTCGACATCGGTCCATGATTTGTCAAATATTTCTTACTCACGAAGAAAGTTGAGGAATCGAAATGTCACAGCCACACATATCCATCCTATTGCTTACTTTCAGGCGGAGCCTCATTATAAAGATTCACGTTATACACACGCTGTCTATCCGAGGAGACTGCGAAATCGAGGTGTACTTGGAGGAGGATATAACTTTAATTGGAGCACACTTCCTCTACGACACCAGATTCTGAGTATTAAGATCAACCTAGCAACCATAGTCTGGAAATCCTACACACGATCCGGGAAATGAAAATTACAAGATTGGCTGGCTACCTGAGCTTCGAGCTTTGAGCTTCTGGCGGGCAGACAATGATATCTAGTCTATATTTGCTGCTGTCCGAAGACGGTAAGATACAGTGGGGCATATTACTCGCTCGCTGTTGTACAGCGACAGCGTAAAGATTTCGACCTTTCATTAGAACTTTGACCTTCACTGCCTTTCTCACGGTTTGATTTGATGGTGTCTGATCGAAACCGTCAACAGTTGGAGCATTGAAATGGATATCGACAAGTCCAGCTCTTCTTTACCATTCGTACGAATTACATTGCGATCAGTCTATAAAAAATTGGAGCAGAGTGGTGTTAATTTCGTAGTCTCCTCGGATATTTCCTCGGAAAATGCGAATGATTAATTTTCAGAATTACATTCGATTTCTATCAAGATTCAGACCTTCAATGGAAAAGAAGTCCTCCAAGCAGCTACTGAAAAAAAGTTATTAAGGCATCTGTCTATTTTCGCCAATGTTAAATTTTTATGGGGTTCTGAAAGTAACCGAGGGATTGCCACGACGTATACTGAGAAATTTACAAGAACGAAGCAGGGCCAGTTTCTGCACTGAACGTTGGACGCCAATATTGACCGAGGCGGAGAGTTCTGATGATAAGAACATAATTATTTCGAGTGGACGGAACAAAGGAAGAATTTAAGAACTTCCTGGCGCAGATTAGATCCTGCTGCTGTAGCCCGTGTACTAAATTTTCCCCGTTCCCCCTTTCATCAAATGCTGACAAAATGTGAGTGTGCGAAATGATATTCTAAGCAGCACTGAGGCCGAATTTCTCGACTCTGCAGTGGCGAGTGGCGATAATTTTGAGTGCCAAAACGTTTCTTAATTTCAGAAGTAGATGTCTGCGTTCGTCGTTCAACGATCATTCGAAACTTCTTAAAACAAGGCTCCTCTAATGTGGTGACCAAACTCTGAAGGAAATGAGCAATGTTAACTTCGTATCCGATGCAGTCATGATCAGACTATATTGATTTCAAATGGTCACTCATTGAGCAACATATGTTGTTACAACAAAATTGACCCGGAGTCCGTAATGGACAAACAATATTCCTAAGAAAGACTGAGACCTATTCTGCCTAATGCAATTCTACCTTCAGCCCGAAAGATGGTCCTAAAACGTCCTACTTCCGACGCCAATGTGGCGAATGGAAACTCGTCTTCAAATTGCACCAGAATATATAAGAAGATAGAAGGCATCAAAACCCAAAATGATGAACGGAGCCGAGTGATTCGATCCATACTCTGGGGAACGTGGCCGTCGAGGCAATCGATCGGATAAGCATACTCGAATTCATCAGTCCGTCCTCTCCTTCACCACGATATTGTAATGGTTCTTAATGAACAGACTGAACTGTCCGCCCTTCTCGGACATGTCGATCTTGTCCACGCCAGGGGGAGGCGAGAGGTCGAAGCACTGGACGAGGCGACCCAAAACCAGGTGCAGCAAGGGCATGGCGACGATGATGCCGGGACAGCTCCTGCGGCCGGAGCCGAAGGGAAGGAAGCGGAAGTCGCTGCCGGCAGCGTCGATCGACCCGTGCAGGAACCGGTCGGGGTTGAAGCGCTCGGGCTCTTGCCAGTGGCGGGGATCGTTGGCGATCCACCAGGCGTTGACCAGGATCTTACTCTGCGCCGGAATGTCGTAACCTCCGAGCTTGGCCTTGTGCAGGTTCATGTGCGGCACCAGCAGCGGAATGGCCATGTGCAGGCGCATCACCTCCTTCACCACCGCCGTCAAATACGTGCACCGAGGGATGTCCGGCTCGGTGATGAGGCTGCCACGTCCCAGAACCGTGTCCAGCTCATCGCGCACCTTCTGGAAGATATCGGGGTTATTGCACAGCTCAGCGACTCCCCACTCGATCGACCACAACGTGGTCTCGATGGCGGCGACGTTGATGTTCTCCACGATGTACAGCACGTTGTCGGAGTTGATCTCTCCCTTCTCTTCGGACTCGAAGATGTAGTCCATGGCCACCTTCTGGCCGCCCTCCTGCTGCTGTTTGGCCTTGCGCGCCTCGAGGACCTTCTTGCGCTCGTCCAGGAAGTACTCCTTGAAGATGGCCAGCCGCTTGTCCTTCAGCTCCTGGCACTGTTTTAGATACCGGCGCAGGAATGGGCGCAGCAGCGGGATGAAATCGCCATAGTTGTACTCGAAGCTCTGCGCCAGCCGGCTGCGCTCGCGGTTCACGGTGGACAGGCGGATGAATAGCTCGTCGTCCACAGTCTCGAAGCGCCGATCGAACATCATGCGGTACATGACGTTGTACATCATGAGCTGCAGCCGGCGGCGGATGATGCAGCCCGTGGTGGATGCTGCCGGGTCCGCCTTCAGATCCTTGATCACGTGGTCGATCTCGTCCTCCCAGGCGAACCTCGATTGCTGTACCACCTTGTTCGTGAAGAATGGCACCGTCATGATCCTACGCATTCTCCTCCAGTGCTCGCCGTACACCGTGAACACCATGTCCTGTCCGTTTCCTGTGAAGATGTCGAACACCACGTTCCTCGTCCGGGACCCGAATTCCACGCCCTGCGTGTGCAAAACCTCCTTGGCCAGCTCCGGGCTCGAGATTCCCACGTAATTCTTCACTCCCATCTTCAGCAGAAAAATGTCCCCGTATTTTTTGGACATGTCTGCCATGAGCCGGTGGTTCAGATCGTCTCCGACTTGAAGCCAGTTCCCGAAAATTGGCCACGCCCACGGCCCGGGAGGAAGTCTCAGCTTCTCCTTGCTCATTTCCATTATGAAAATCACCAACAAGGTGGCGGCCAGAAGAGCCAGTAGGAAATTCTGCAGCGTCAGACTTGCAGAGGAACCAGGCAGCACTAAATCCATCATCTCCTGACACCAATGTTTCGCTGCGGTTGAAGCTTCACCGACTTCCATCTTGAGACCCTCCATCTCACCCTGAATTTGTGACCTTCGAGCTCGTTCGTTCGAGCACTGACTGTCAGCTGGTCTAGAGATCAGTCCTACCTAGGAAAGAATTGCTGAGCCCTTGATGCTCTCAATTCCACCATTTCAACCACATGGTGGAATGCAAGCGAAGTCGAGAACTAGCTGAGAGCGGTAATTCGATGAAACATCTGTCGAGGGGTTTATATAGTTCCGACGAATTGGACGAATCGCAACTGGAGGCATTAGATAGTACTCATATCATGACAATATGCTTCCTAGATTCCGGCTGGAAAGTCGTGAGCTTTTTGGATCACATGCATGTACACGGGAAAAGCGTTCTACAGGACAACGTGAGACCATTAGGACAACACGCTGAGTTCCAGACAGTGTCCTTACATTATTTTCGCAGTACTCGAGTTCCAACAAAGTTTAGATGTCTCTTTGTAAAGTGCAAAAGCTGATTGATATGTTTGATTACATCCACTGACTAAGTTGGGAATGACGGAGATTGACGAAGAAAGAAGGGGCTTCTGGAAGGACCTTTACTTCCATATGAGCTCACGATCTGAACATAGTGTTCCAACATTACTTTCAACAAATTCTCTTTACAAAAATGCCTCACTCTGTGCTAAAGAATTAGAACAATAACAATGCTGGGGACGTCCGTGATCATTAGCCCCCAAGGATACACGAGGGGCTGGTTAGTCTAGATTTTAGACAGGTTCAGTCCTATATTTCCAAAAGCTTGATAGTGCCTCACATCCTCCTGGATGTGAGAAACATTCCTTACTTATGGATGGGTTTGATGTTACGTCAAGTTACGATGAGCCCCGTGAGATTCGAATCTACTTACCTGGAGTTGATGCCATGTATATCTGAGGTAACCTCCAGCTATTCTTCTCATAAACCCGCAGAAACTCATTTGACCATTTTTTGTGCCCGATGGAAATTTCCAATCTCGGAAACACCTGGACAGATTAAGAAGGCCAGATAACTAGAGAACTGCGTGAAGGTCTCAGAAGGTTTATGACATCCAGCTTTATCGCATAAAGTTCTATCGCCTGATCCATCATGACCACTTACATGACCTCCATCATGGCAAGTACTCGAGTAGATCTAATCCTCGCCAGCAAGAGTTAGAAACAGTCATTTACGAGCGTGATTGTGAGCGCAAGAAGGAATCGCACTTGTCATGAGAGTGTTCACTATTGACGATGTTTATAGAGTAAATTGACCGTGACTGTTTAAATACAAGCGGTTCCGTCATTAGTCTTCTAAACACATTTTGCAATCATCAAACTCGGCTGAATCTACGTTATCGTGCGCACTTACCTTGAAGAGACAGGAAAAACCAAACAGGCTGCCAGAGTTTGGAGACTCTTTCTTGAGCACCTTTTTAAAGAAAGGCGAGAATTCAACATTGAACTTTTCTGATATGAAGTTGAAGAGGAACTGCTAGTTTGCAGTCTGAAGGAAGCAAGACTAATTTCTCATTAGAAAGACGAAAGAACGCACTGGCTTAGCTGAAACTTTGCACCGCACATTCTGAATGATGTGCACATCAGACATTTTTGGAGACGCTTCAAAACTTTTACGGCCAACTATCGAAATAAATTTTCATGATTTGTACAATTAAAAAAAGGCTTGCTTTCAACGGCATATCAATGTAACGACAACCAGCATTAATGGCTGCAGGGAATATATAAACTCTTCGTTCTCCACATGAACCCAAATGATATCCTAATCAGGAGTTTATGAACGTAGTCAATCTCAGAAACAGCATGAAATCACTAGAAGGTTGGAAAAACCTCCACTACTGTCACTCTCAAGAATGTAAGTACGTCCTAGCATAAAGGGCTCATGAAGATTAAGTCTAGACCAGATCTTATCCCTTGAAGATATATCAGTGATGAAGGGAGTACAGTATGAGTTGATGAAATATCGACAGTCAGTATGTTTACCAGATCAATACTCACATCGAGCCAAATCATAAGGATTTATAATATATAGACTTACAGTTCCATTTTTTATCTGATATAAATTTCATATATACTTTGCAATAACAGCTGTAGTTCCAACGAGTTTCCATCTTGAATAGCTGTTGCAGTGACTTTTCAAAGTTATGTTCAAACGAACTGACTGCAACCTCATGTGCAGTTTCCAAGATCTTAAAAGATCATAATTTTGACACTGTTTCCTGTGATAGAATGGAATTACAGTCACGAAATACGTGGATTGACGTAGTTGTGACAATCAGATGAAGACAGATTCAGCCAGATTTTTCAGCACAGATTGAAAACTATTTATCTTATTTCAACTGGTAACGAGCTTTTCCTCGAGTAAGTTTTACAAATGCTCGAGGTCAAGCATAAACAGCATCTTCCATTGCTAATAGTGGCACGAATGCAGCTAAAATTTACTCAGCCCTAATAACATAGTACATTGCATACACTGCATTTGATTTTGTAGTGCATCAAAAGATGTCTCATGCTTAAGTTTGCGCGGATCTTAAATTAACTTTCGGTTTCGCATCAGCTTGGAAGGATTTTTAGTGCATGACATTGGATAGTTCTATCGGCATGCTAGTATTTGAGACTGGAGAGATGATATATACGCTAGTATTTACACAAAGACCTTCCACTCATAATGTCCTCACATTATTACAGTGGATGTTCGCATCAGCAAGCACCTCCTTTGGCCTGAAGCAGACGCTTTAGGGCGAAGGCATTATGCAAAACAGATTTTAGTTTGAATATACAGGGATCCTGAAAATTAATTGCTTCTGAATTGATAAGCTTTCTACTTGGAAACTTCACAAATGTATACAGTACATGAACTCCAGAAGAGAATAGGCATATGAGTTATGTAGCTATCTATAAGGATTATGTGCCGTTCTTGATTTAGAGTAATCGAACAGAATGCAAAAGGATGGCGTTCTTATCTGTAGGAATAGGCAGTTTTAATTCACACAATAAATATCTGTTAATTCGATGATGAACTCTACGCTAATCCAGTAAACTTCAGTTGATTTAAGTAAGGGTATTAAATTGATGTAGATGTATGAGGTAAAAAACACTGGCAAAACAAAGTATCGGTATGAAACACTTCAGCTTGAAGCCTTAGAGAATGGGGGTTTGTCCGACAGTGCTCCCATGGGTTTTGTCAGGCAAGAAAAGGAAAAATGGAGATGCTTTTAAAACAAGAAACGAAGTTGACAGGGTTTTAGGAAGTTTGCTGGTGATCATCGTATGATATAGCTAAGTAGCAATTTGCAATTCTCTTGATTTTATCAACCTATGTACGATTTAGACATGGCTCTTAGACACTCAATCCTTACCACGATCATACATAATGATTCTGTTGCATGTCACACTTTTAAGTGCACAAAGAAATATTTAGTTTTCATTCCCATTGTCCCATATGAAATTTCTTCGTAGTCCTAAGAAAATGATTTGGAAAAAATACCTGAAAGGCATTAAAAGTGTATTTTTTTCTGCAAAAATTACTTATAACGTCCATTCATAAAGTATGTGTGGGGCATACTTCGGAAAATGTTGGAATCTTATGGTAAGTCTCGGTGGCTTGGTGGACATTTTGGGACTTTCAATTCACCACCGATAGAAGAGAAGTGTGCTTTGAGCAACTGACCTAGCCTGGGGCTTGCAACTACTCCTGAATGGAGACAACTACATCAACCCAGATCTAATGTTACTACACCCGATCTTAAGCTCACAGTATCAATATGCTAACCAAGTGAGATACAAGAGTCTATGCATGACTAATCTTGTATTTTCATTTTTCTTCGTTTATGCTTTAAATGCAACAGATGAAAACCCTCTTGGTACTTCAAATTTCCTAATTCCATATTTCCAGATATACGTAGCAAGCAATCAATTAAGTACTACCAAATGTAGCGATTTACATCATCGTTGGCTATATATATATGGCTATAACAAGATATAATATGTTATATCTTGTTATTTGATGAATTAAGGGACACCCATATCAAGTTATAAAATAGTGCAAACTAAAAGAGCAGTTTTGAATGTATTGTTGATTTAAGAACATATGTATCCACTAGGATTTGACGCAAGAGATCTTAACAATGTAGATGAAAATAGTGGTAAAAATTAGACTCAGAACATTTTGATCCAAACGAAAATACATATCATTCTGTCTGGTCTGGAGACTATAAGGTCTAACTTTAATATATCAACTTTTCCAATCTCTTATAAAAGTGGGGTAGATACAAAAATTGTGATGAAAATGTTTAAAGAACGAGATCTAGCACTACATATGTCATACAAAATATATTTTAGTCTGACATCTCACAGGGTGTATTAGCGTCTATAAAATCCTCACAGTTCATTATTATTAGGATTCAATCTCTTGCTTTGAATATGGAGCGTTGGCTGAGTCATCTATTCTAAGGCAACAAAGAAGCCAAACTATTTTTTGCTGAGCCGTCATGCAGAATGTGTGGGAAATCAACTGGACATCGTCAAGGACATTTTGCTCTCTGTACATAGTTTTCTTTTCTGTCCGATCTCTGCTTGAGTTTCCCGACGTGAGTGGCAAAAGAAAGGCGAGTATCTTCAGCTCAAAGCACCTCCTGCGCATCTAATGATGCTTGTGTGCTCCCGGGGGGGCTCGAACCCACGACCTTCGGCTCATAAGACCGATGCTCTAACCAACTGAGCTACGGGGGCTCACATTTCGGGTCGCCCATGTTGTGTTTTTATTTTCTGCTCGATTCCGAAACTATACATTACATCAATTTTTTCTTTAATACATTTCATGAAAGAAGATATAAAAAGCTAAGAGGTCTTCAAGTCTTCTTCAGTATGCATATTTATAATAATAATTTTAACCAAGAAAATTTTCAGTGTTGCTGTAGCTTATGAAAATTAAAGTAAGCTAATTTATCTGGAAAAAATGTAGGACAATGTTTTGAAGAGGAACACTACGGACTCCTCGGGACTTCACTGAAAATGTTGTCTATGCAAGTCGAAATGTCTCTATGCGGTTGGAATATACTATGAACCCCTTGCATCGAGCTCTTACGAGTATTTTTACAATGCAAGGGGTTGGAAGCTGATATCCATTGTACTAAAAGCACAAGGTTCATCATGATTACATCAATTATTTTATGAGTAATCATATAAAACGACATCACATGATATGCTTCAACTTCATACTAGAAGAAAATGGCTAGAAAAGCCGGCTATGGCATGAAAAGCTAACAGCAATTTACATTATTGGAAGAGTACACTAGAAAGACTTATAACTAGGGTGGAAACACCTGCACAAAGGACTAAGCTAGAAATAAAGTGCGTGACTCTTTTCGAGTTCATAAAGATGCTGCCAAGCTGAAGTTGGAAGGAGGTTTGCCCCATATGACAGTTCACCTTCACACCCATGGTTTCTTTTATTTAATTTCGACATGTAAAGATCAAATATATATATGATGCGTCAATTCTTATTCAGAACCTCATATAATACCCTCGGTACCATATCTGTGCAGCATAGGGATAAATCTCTGTAATTCAAACTACCGCATAGCACAGCTGGGTTCTCAGAAGAGAGAGCATTTGATCAGATCTCATTTTATGGCATATATTTCATAGCTTATGTTTGATTCATCTGAGTGGAGCAGAAGGTTGAATGAACTAGAACTAGAGCAGTACCCTTCAACACAAGGGGAGAAAGATGGGGAGCCAGCCAGGTACTTTGACTTTCAGTAACACAGAGAACTACAAATTCGGTTAAGAATAACAATACATGCACTAATTTCACAGACGAAGAGGCTGAGCCGCTTTCCACAGCAATTTAACTCAATTCTTAAGGCCAGAAGTAAACTCTGATTTTGTAAACCCTCATCTCCAAATCAAATATTTACTACTCTAGCCAAATATTTCAAGGCCATCAGAATCCTGAGTTTGATGAGCTATTCATTCTGTCTTGGTCCATGCATTGAAGATCCGGATGAATGGGATAGAGCCTGCTATGGGAGATAATCTCCACCCCAAATACTTTTCCCCCTTCGTTTTCTATTTTTTTTTCCCCTTCCCATTCTAACTTGCCTTGTACCGTCAGCCTTGGCATGGGGTTCATGGTCTTCAGGTAAATATAATTTAGGACGCTTCATGGATGCAGTCCATAAGCTTAGACAAACGTTGTAATATCAAAGTGATTGATTAAACTTTCAAACTTTCTTCAAGTAAACACTATATTAGAAACTGAAGCTTTTTCATGAGCGTCAGCAATATGAATAGAACTCGGTAGAGAACCATGACGATCCTACCCAAACTTTCACTGATAACGTCGATATACGTACGAAGTTAATGACTGAGAAATGAATGATGACTGAAATGTTACTCCGTTGTCCATCAGGATCATAATGCGCGCCGATCGCCTGTTCACATGCACATCTCCTTTTTAGGTGATATGGTAACGGTCTCAATCGCATCGATTCCGACAGGTTTTGTAACCGTATACATATAATGTTGGCTGTCTTCAAGATTTCACAGAATTTCCGCACTCATTTATCTTCTCCGATATCCCAAACCGTTTTGCTTCCTCTTCGTCTTCTACGCTAAATTTTCACTCATGTGATTGAATGACAATTTACACTCATGACAAGTTGTACTATATAAGTTGCTGCAGTGTGACGTTTATTCTAATCAATCGATCTATTTAAGTAACCGAATACTTCAGTGATTCTTGATCACTGAATTGATGGACTTTTACACCGGATACGCACAGTATTGAGGTTACTTCTTCTCTGTGTGCAGGCCGTGGACTTAATCACGAGGAAGAAAAATCTTGCAGCAGCCACCAATGGTGGCCATGGTACGGCCGACAGGAACTCCTCGCTTTATCAGGAGAAGGCCGAGAAATCGATATCTTTTATATCAGGAACCTCCCATCGAGCAAGCTGGGAAGTACATCAAAAGGGAGGAATTAGCAGAGTGAGTATATTATGTCCTAATATTTTATACCTTCACAATGCTTTGACCAATCTATCACATGTTGATTTTACTGAGAAGCCGAAGTTTTGGTAGAGTGTTTCTAAGGAATAAGAAGAGAATGCAATTGAAATGCTATCTTCTCCTATTGTGTCAACTATATTTCTGGCTAGATGAGTGTCTTGTATGATTAGATTGTCTAGTTTAGAAGTTTTTTGTTAGTTGTCAGTGATTTATTTCAGTATCTAGTTTGAGGTATGAACATTTTATCGTTTCTTGCTGACAACATTCTCCCTTGAGGGTTGGCTTTTTCTGTACTTTTTGCGTCAAGAAAGACATGACGCAAAAATAATCTCGGTCTAATAAAACAATCGTTCTCTGCATCTGATCCAGGGATACTGTATTAGACCAAGCTGTGTGGAGCAAAGGTCTTCCGGATGATGTTTTCTGTACAATTTTGGCGAGGTTGCCACTGAGTAGCTTTATTCGATTCCGGACTGTGTGCAAGAGTTGGAATGCTATTGTTCATGATCCACTGTTTCTGGAGGCATCTTCTCGAGTGTCCAATCGACAAACTTGCTTGGTTCTGAGGAGCAGAGAACAAGATGTCATGTACGAACCTGGCACAAACAATTGGTTGCCAATTCCAGCAAGTTTCTTCCACGCTGGAAATGAAAGTCATTACGGAGTCATTGCTTCATGTGGAGGCCTAGTTTTACTATCTCACCGATGTAGGCTAATGCTGTTCAATCCTTTGAACAAGTCCAAAAAGAACTTACCTCCCATGATTGACATGGATCAGTCCGACTTACCGACGGTATCCGATGTAGATGTCATTGGAATGTACCTTGAGGTCGAGGCCAAGTATATCAGCATCCTTGTTACGGACAAGATAACGAATGCTGTGACACACAGCGATGAGGATGATGAATGCGATGAGTATGATGAATCCTATTATGAGGGACGTGAGCCTTTTGCAGCGCAGGTGTACAATTCCAGGACCAACTCTTGGGAGATGCGTGGAACTTTCGACCCCGAATACCAGCTTTCCATTTTGAATGCGGCCCTGCTAGATGACACTCTTCACTGCTTGACCGAGGCAGCGGACCCGAACATGAGCCATATTTATAACCAGTTGGCAATCTACTCCATCCTTAAGGATATATGGGACGAAGACGCAATCGAAATGCCTGATGACGAACGGGCGTTGGTCTCTCCCCATTTGTTCACGAACACGGGAAGGCTTCTTTTGGTAGCTGCTCGGACTATCACGGGAGGCCCGTGGAATAACGAATTGCCCTTGTGGAATAACATCATCATCTGGGAGCTGCAAGCCGTCGAGCCAGAGGTTTTTCAGTTCGTCAGAAAGCTGGAGATAGAGCCCCAGGAGGTTCAAAAAGAGCTTCTAAACATTCGGGTCGGAGACTTATTCTTTCTTTCAGAAGGTGATTTTGTATACTTTGGCTCCAAGCTCGGAAGCACTCTTGGTATGATCAACGTGAAGTCCCAAACTTGGCGGCTGTTGCCGCCAATTCCCGATTACGATCATTATGACTTTCGCAGTCAACCGAAGAAGTTCTTGTTTCAACCCAGAATTGACTTGGAGGCCTGACTGGAATCACGCATCCACATTGACTTCAATGCACTCATGTGGCAAACTGTTTCCTAAATTCTTCCTCGGTTTTCGGTTATTCTGCTGCTCAAGTTTTTCTGCCCTGTTCATGGATTTAACTCCATTACTCAAGGTTCACACACTTGTGCCGTACTGATTATCATTATTAGCGTAAGTTTCAATTTCTTTATTTGGCTTTTAAGTACTCATCATCAGCGTGACGAAAATCAAGTGGGGAAATCCGATTACATATTGTGTTAAATAATTACTTATAGCTCAACTAGAATATCACAGAGTGAGGGGAGCAAGTTCCCATCAATATGGATGTTTTCACTTGAGCCTTGTTCTGTGATATGGATTTCTTCAATCGGTCCTTGCTAAACAGCAAGAAGAATTCTTATTATGTGCTCTGTGATGTATGTGATGTCTGAATTCTGCCAGTGACCCAGGTTAGCAAACACGGTAATGTCTACATAGATAAGATTGTACTGATATTAGCTACAAGGCGCACCACGCTTTAAATGTATCCAAGAGACTTAAATTCTAAAGCGATACAACGTACATAACACAAAGTGACCTCGATGCATGTGGAACCATGACTTGCGAAGAGATTTGCAGGTAACAACTTGGACTCCTCATAATTCACAGACATACGCAGGATGCATGTAGTTGCGTACCCGTCGAGTTTAACATGGACGTCTCGAGACTACTCGCAACAACTCAACTCACTTTACCTCCAGGTTCCGAGTTATCGGAACCTGGAGGTAAAGTGAGGCGATTGATAATGGTCGGTTTCGATTCATCGTTCAAACATCCCTCGACATGGGAGCTATGACGATTTCAGGTTGATGCTATATGTCGATGCTTTTAGTAGCACCTTCATGACTGCAGTCGTGAACTTCTTTGGTTAGCATTCATTGAGGAGCTCAAGGAGAGCATCTTTGTTTTTAGCAATCAGTGGTTTCCTTGATTACGCAGTTGGTAAGGACATAGAATCAACAGTCATAAAAAATTTCGACGTACTTTCCAAGCGGCTTTCTTTTCTCATATATTCTTGAAAAACGTAAAAGATCTCAGTCCATCGAGGCAGGATCGTTTATATGATCGATCACTATGAATGTCTTCGGAGTTTTACAACAATGAGTGTACCGGAAAAGCTGTGTATTAAGGCGATGATGAATAAGGTACTGAATTAACGATCCTAGCTTTCATGATGATACTTCCTCCAGCAATGCTAATGCCGAAAGGGAACAATTTAATATGTAGTAGTGAGTTAAGGAGTGGCTCTCGTTTGTGAGATAATGAGCAAATTATTCGAAATAAACGCGCAGAGTCTGAAGCTTATCGAAGAACACTACACCTGCATATATAAATATAGAAAAAAACAATAAAGTGCATAAATGAACTTCCAGCCAGCTCAGAATCATTTTTGAAGACGAAGTTTTTTGTTGGATTCATCTAGTATGAGATCCAGGACTTAGCAATGTTAACTGCTTGAACACTGAAGTAACCAATGTGCATTATGTTGAATTCAGAGTAGCTAAAACATTGTTCAGCAACAGCCGTAGCTGGATTACTTTTTAGTGGCAGGAATGAGATGTCACTCGGTATAATATATGTTCAGGATTCAAAATGAATGACTAATTCAGTCACCAAGTCTCCCAATGACACCACTTTCTGAAAAAACCACCTGCGTAGTCCCAGTGATAATTCTTCAGTTTTCAAAAGTCTTTCGACTGGGCTGCGTTTGTATTGAGTCTACATGAAGGCAATGCAGTGGCACGCACCACATTAACTGATGTTAATAATCCACGCGTGATGAGTGCAAAGTAAATGGCAAAAGCTGATCTTCTCACGAAGAATTTAAAACAATCAGAATTGTCTCTCCTGTATTGTCTTCTACAAACCACAAACTGGCTCTGCAGAATTATGGAGGAACTTTCTTCGCTGCAAAAAGATGCTGTAACACGAACAGTCGACGAAGGAAATTACTTTTTCAATGTCTCCAAAGTTATGTAATCCGCTACGAAGATGCAGCATAGCAGGAATGAAAGTTCCTTCTGCTAGTTTCCCTGTAATTTCTTAAAAAACCAATCACACTATTCTCGACAAACCTCCACTTCTACTTGCATGAATACTCAAACCCTTTCCTGTCCTTTCAATTCCCTGTGCCCAGAACTTCGCACAATCCTCGATTCACCTGCATTAAGTTACAGCAGACTATCAAACATATGTTAGGGTAAACCCCAAACCCTAAACCCTTGGGTGACTTCGAAAAGCATTTTAGAACCTTCACAATTGTTAGTGCTACTTTTACGGTGTATTGTCATTTTATTGCCGCGTCCGTGAAGTGAAATTATATCGCGATTTAGAGTTTTTCAGCTGTTATTACCGCATCATCGGTTTCCTAGTCAAGCAGAAAAATGGAACAGCATCGAAAATATCATTGAGATCCACATTTCAAACATGTAGGTGAGTTGCTGAATCTATTAGACCACATATCAAGTTCACAAAACCTGGACAACGATTTTACAACAACCTTTTCCGTAAGGAAATGATATTGTGAGGATTAGTCTGTACATTACTATATTTAAACTCATTCTTCCACGAGAGACAGGCATGGAAGTGGCCATGTGTTTTTCTCCAAATACCTAGAATCAAACAAACTGCATGCTTTGAACAGCCGCTTTCTCATCCACTCCTGCATATACCCAATCTCATTTCAAATCGGTTTTGACCACGTTCAATTCGCCCTCTTTCCTGCTGCTACTACCGTCGTAATATCTTCCACTCAATTACCCCTGGTGCCCTATTATCTTCTCCTGTCCACCGTCTCACCCTAGTGTTGAATGAACGAATGGGATGGTAACCATGCAGGCTGCTTGAATTCTGCAGACGAAGATTTCACCAGATCTATTTCAGCGCCAGAGTGCTGACTGATTATATTTTCTGCCGATTATCGTTTCTGCCTCCAGAATTATCGTTTCTGCCTCCAGACGGTGCGATTGTCTGTAAGATTAGTTACGTCCCAATGAGGAAGATTTAGGAGTAGATCATCTACGGACACGGGCACAAATGTAACTCCACCCGCTGAGTTGTACAGATAGATGCAGAGAATTTCGGTTTGAACAATTCACACCACAAGCCGAGCCTGCTAAAGAGCCTCAATTGTGCAATAGAAATCCTTCGTCAGCAGTTGATTCTGTTTAGGTTATATTGGTCTCCCTCGTGGGGGAGGATGGGCTGCGCCTGCCTAGGAGGTAGTGCAATACCAAGGCGACACTGGTGGATCCGAGCCAGCAAGCTGACCCACTGGACCCACACCCGTGAAAGAAATGAGATTAATATCGTGAGGGTCGATGACCCTCGTATCAGATATTAAACTGATAAGAACAGATACTACACTTGATCTTAGCCAAAAGGCCGAGAAAGGTATACTTCTACACCGGAAATCAGAAGACTATAAGGCTCGAGGGATCCAGTTACAAACGCATTGAGTATGGGTTTTACCTTCTGTAGATTTCTCTCGAGTATCATGCCGCCGGTCACTATTTCTCAAAGTGAGTCCCTCTGTGTGCCTTTGTCCTCTAACAGCCCCGCAAGAATACTTACTGTACATAGATTTGAGCGCTAAGAGACATGAGCGGAAGGCCAACTCATTCAGCTTACCATTAGAGGACCCCTCCACTGCCAACTCTCACCTGTGCGTGCACACATTTCGGCATTTTTATGGATCTACTAGTTTAGTAAATCTTATATAAAAATGAATGTTTTAAAAAAATAACAAAATTAAGTACTTCAAAATTTTGAAACGCAATTTCCAAAAATTATAGAACTGAATCTGTTTGGTCATGTGTGACTTCCCTGCTGGCTTCAGTAAAGTTGAAATAACCACGTTCCTCGAAGTTCTGCATGGAGTAAGGAAGCTAGTTTGTGGTGGTTGATATTGTATGCCTCCTCCGAGTGCAAACTTTACACTTCTCCGTTAGTTCTCTAATATGTCAACCAAACTTTTGGGCTACCTTTTAGGTGATTTATCCATTTAAGGAAAAACAAAAATCAGATTCAAATTACATGAAACTGAAAAAGTCATAAGAAATCTTTATTATCTACTTGCAACTTAAAAGAATAGCATATGTTCGCAAAGTGAAGCTATATTGATGTGTTTAGACTTGTAAACTTAACTCCATATAGGTGATGTTTGAATATCACTGGCAACTCTAAGATATGTTTGAATATAAGATGAAGATCTTTATACATAGATCTTTTACGAATCAAAACAAGGCATTGAACACTTTTTCATGTTTAAAGATATCTCAAGTTAGTTTGACCAGGTTACCTACCGCTGCATAAAAGTGCTGGCAGAAGCTCTATGTGATACATTAGGTTTTGAGATAAAAGACTCTGTGTTTCCTGGAAATATTCTCAATTTAAGATAAGTAATATATTTTTAAGTGGCAAACTTGTTAGATGATTGAGGCTCTATTCACGTTTGGACTTTCAAACCCAACATTAAGTGTCATGCACAAGAATCCAACAACAATTACTTTGGTCCATTAATCAAAATAGAATATACGATTCAAAAATCAAATCCAAATTATTTGACCTTCGCATATTTTCCATTATACTAATTGTGTCAAGTCAAAATTAAAACGCCATTTTGTGTCTTCTAGATCTAACACTTTCTATTGCAGCATAGGTGACAAAAACTGCTCAGTCTGACCGTGCAGTCATAAAAATTATGAAGTATCTGCCTCATGTCTAACCTTTCTATAGATTTAGCTCCATGAGTTATAATTTGTTCCAATTATTCATGTTGAGATGTCATGTTCACAGCATGACGAACACCAGGGATTGATCATTGATAAAGGATTATTACTTTACCAACCCTTTGCAAAGCTTTCCAAAGATTGCCATGACAACTCCTTGATATGAAATTGAATAATAATCAGAACATAAAATATGTGATATTGTTAACATGCTTGTACATCAAGAAGATAAACTTTTTTTTCTTTTGAAGTCAATTTATGTCTTATTAAATTTCCAACCTATCTTACCATCAATTAAATTTAGATACAATGACGATGGCAATAGTTTTAGCCAAGGTTCCACAAGGTATTCCACAAGGTTGCCATCAGATATAGATGTCCAGGCTATCTTCCATGTCTGTTAAGACTATTTCATATTTGCATTCTATACCAAAAATGTGTAAAGAGATAATAAAATCAGTTCATATTTGACGAACCTAGCAATAATCACTTTTGATTCTAAAGGATTAGCGAGGCAAACTACAGTAGCAAACATGTACTACTCGACACATCTAGAAATTTCCATCTCTATCTCTCCCCCTCTCTCTTTACATATCAATAGTACAGCCCAAATCCCATAACGAGTGAGATGATCATCACAAATACCCATATCATTTGTTTGACTTTTTGAAAATATTTCCATGTGAGCTTCCATATCACTCATCCTCACTCGTTATTTGCAAAACCACTTGAAACGACTGCAGAGCCGACACTCTCAGCTCTTCCAATGGAAGCAGAGTTCGAACAGCTGCAAATGGTTGTGTAACCCGAACGAGTACAAATCCAGGAACCGGCAGAAAACTCCGCACCATAAAGCAGAGAATGAATCCTGACTTCAGACCTCTCGCAGATCTGAGCTCAAAACAGAGTGCTCAGGGCCAACAGATTGCTAGTCTTGCCCACGTGATCAGGATTTAGCATTTTTAGCTCATCCACGATTCAGCTCTGGATCGTATGCTCATGGTACAAAAGCTGAGCCCGAGACTGTAGATTTGCTGGACTAGGAGCTGTAGATCGGCAGACGAGCTCTGCTCGAGGGGTTTGCTACTCGAGTGTTGCACCTGTTCCATATTCAGACTCGAGCAGCGCTTGGAGTGACACACGCAGATGCCTCGAGCCTGGGATGGAAGCGGATGTTGGGTTCGGGAAAATCCGTAATGCTGCAGAACAAATGCTCGTCTGCAAAACGATCTTCCACCGAGAACCAAGTGTTGTAGAAGGGACTGTAGAGCAATTGCACGCTCTGTGAGAGGATGGGGTCGGTGAGCGTGCAGCAGATGAGGTCTCTGCAGGAGGTGGCTGCCAGCAGCTTGGCGCCGGCCTCCGCTTGCACATTGGCCGCAAGGTCCCGAACCTCCTGCAGCAAGTGCGAGCACACCTCCCTCCAGGCGCCGGCCCCGAGGTCGTCGCCGACCAGCTCCCAAACGCACAGACGCGAGTCCTCGAAATCGAGCGGATTGGGAGTGGCCGCGTTGTACGAGACGGAAGTCGACGACCAGGCGTTCGTCCACGGGCCCATGAGAACCAGCAGCATCAGACGCCCGTCGCAGCTTTCCAGCTGAATCGACAAGATCTTGTTGGGCGATAGGAAGCCCGGCAATTTCAGCTCGCGCCACACCTCGTTCTCCGGCTCGAAGAACACCACAGAGCATGCGCTGTTGTTGATTCTCAGCTTGGAAACGCCCACGGACAGCAGCAGCCCCTGGTAGCTTATGGTCCGCGTGTTGGCGTACGCGTGCTGGTGCGGCAGCAGACTCCTGACGAGCAATTTCCAGCGGCCTGTGCGAGAATCGAACACTTCGGTCGTGAGAGGAGTTGCCAGCACCACCGTGAAAGACCCCGTGGCGGTGTCCGCAATCAGCCCCGCGGAAGTGAAAGTGGGCCGATCAGAGCTCAAGTGCTGCGATCCTCGCATGATTCCGATCAGCTCGAGCTGTATGCGATCCTCGAGCCCCACTCGCCGGGGCCTTGGTGGCAGCTTGATCCAGCTATTCGCTCTCAGAGGGTTGCAGACGAACCAATTGATCGAGGTTTTGCTGGAAGATGAGGCCGTAAATGTCGCCCATGCTCTCAGCGTTTGCACGATTTGCCCGTTTCCCGAGAAGCTGAAAGAGTTGGTGTTGTAAGAGGCGCAGAGCACGAGACCGCCGGATGTTGCCACAGCAACCGAGCTAGTGCAAGGGGAATCTGCCATCGAAGCCAATTTCAAAGAGTGCCACCGGTTTAGAGCCGGATTGAAGCAGATCGTATGCACGAAGGAGCTGCGGAGGGTGACGTGCTGGCAATTGTAGATGAACCACGACCTCTCTTTTGGACCGTGATGGCCTCGAATGCTTAAGAATTGAGGATCGTTCCAGAGCGAGCACCATTTCTTACAAACGAGCCTACATTTCGCCAAGCTCTGGATGGGCAAGCATGCGAGAATTAACAGGACTATGCTCTCCGGCAGCTGACTCCACAAGGCGCTATCCAAATCCGGGTCTGGAATTTCTCTGTTCAATCTTCTCCAGCTGCCGCCAGATGCATGCGGGGGAGTCGAGGACGGTGGTGCGACGCCTCGCTCGTAACATGATAACAGGACACTCCAAGGCCTCGCGTGAGTGATCGCCGATGTCAAAGCCTGCGAGGATTCCCGTCCTGTGACACGAACGGCATCGGGGTATCCTGATAATCTTTGGTTTCTGTCGAACCAGGTCGAAACTCTGTCCATGTTCGAAAGGCCGGAGAGACGAAAAATCTGGAGGTTTTCATCGAGCGCACGGAGGCGTGTAGATCGCAGCAGCACATGTTATAATAAGTCGATAGAATTTGCGAATGTAGGGGGTGGATGGATTCATTCAGTTCTCGTCTTTCACACTTCAGTCGTGGGCAAGATTTCCAGGGAGCTTCCGGTCCCACTTGAAAGTTGAGACCGATCGTCCTCGAGGTCGATGAAACAATCAAGCCTCGTCCTCTTTTTTAGTCGTGCAATTCGTGGCACACATTGTGGCCCCGAATTTCTGATGAAAAGTTGTTCCAACGCCTTCTTAGAATATATTTCCATCCCTTGTTGCGAGTGCGCCTTTGGCATTTCGTGGACAGCGTTTTCGGCAAGAGACCCGAAATTCAGGAAGTGCCAAGAGCGCCTCTCTACCGGCGCTGTCGATGACACGCATTCCAGAGGCATGAGATATTAAAATTCACATTATATATTCTACATCACGCTTGTCTCGCAGGGGCGGAACCAACTCCCAGCTACACGTCAAGCACAAGCCGACGGCGGTTGCATCATCGTGTGACCGAAGCAAACGATCAAACGAATCGGCGTCCATGCTCGCTCCAATACGCAGAGTGTTGCTGGCCGTGTTCGTGTGGCATGGAGTTCACAAGAGGAAAGTGGTCCTATAACGCCCCACTTTCTTCGAGCTCAAAGTCTTAGCCCGGCCATCTTTCTGCATGCTCGGCTTCCACGGTGTGCTTCGAGGATTTGGAAAGCCTATTCGAAGATCGAGACTGCTCTTGATGACGCTAAACTTGGACATTGAGCTCAGCAGTCAATCAGTCAGCGAAGGTGATGTCCGAGTAGTAACGAACAGGGTACCACTAATATTCCTCGTTAGAGATAGAGTTTTACTCGTTATTTTGACATTTGTACTGTCTTGAGAGTTTGTCTGCGTTCCTCAACGAAATGCGAAACACAAGCACGTCTTGGATTGTACTGCGACGGGAGCAGTAACTGTATTCTGCTGGTACTGGAGTGTTTATAGGACTCAATAGCATCGCAATGTGTGGTGCCCACAGAGCACGCACCACGAGAAGACAGAGCTGATGACGGAAAGTACACTCGGAACTCTCCTCGTCTTCTTGTCCGACTTGAGGAGGAATATTGTTTATATTTGCTTTCAGTTATTTCGGTTTTGCAAACCGCGGCCACAAATTCCTGCCTCCACAACAAAACTAGACTGCCTTACCAATTATCCCATTTGTGATCATTTGTGACAGTCTTAGAAGCGACACGGTCTGCTTTGAAATGCGGTGCTCTTTCCCGAAGGTTCAGCTCGCACACACATCACTGCAGTTTTTATGCGAAGGAGAAAAAGTTGTAGCTGAACCCTCCCTGCGGGTAAATCAAGATATGAATGCCACTAGGAGACTTTGCTCGCGAGTGGCATTACTGCTGTGTGCATATCTCCCGAGTAAGCTGAATCCACTTGTGACTTGTGACTTCTTCAGGAATCTATTCTGCGTACTGAAGTTGATTTTACCGAATATGCAGATGATTAGAGATGCTTCCATGTAAAACTGGCTTTCATATGTCGGATCTGGTGGTTGTGACCTCCGAGCAAAGGTTCTCTTGTGGTGGGAATAATCCACTGAAGGGTCTAGTTGCTACAGGATAATAAGCCTCAACCCCATGTGTGGAATTACCCATTCTGCCGTTAGGATGTGATAAGATCATGACGCATGTAGGAACAATCTCTAGTGCCGAGAGAACCTGTCTGCATAAACCTTGACGGGTCTTCCTACACTCGAGGAGTGAGGCAAGGATGAACATTCTTCGATGTCTCCAAACTTCTCGGCGGTTTCTGGATTTACTCTTATTCCTCCTGTTGAAACTCCCACCCAGCGTAAAGATTGATGTTGTCCTTGACCTTGTCCTGGCTTGGATCTCGTGTCAGATCCGTGACTCTACAACATGGGCGTGTCTATGTAAGTAAAACATTTTGGATGCAACTCATTGGCACCTACCGCTGAGCTTGCATAACGCTTCGCCCGCAATTCAGAACTGTCCATGTAGTCCAAGATAAGCAGTACCTCAGCTAAGAATTTTAATATAGCATGCAGTACATCTTTGGGATTAGACTGCTCAACCCTTGTACTACTGAGAATGAATGAATTGCAGATGGCGTATCCAGTCTGACAAGTCCATTCCTAGTCTGGGCCAATTCTGTAGGGACAGAGTCTTCCTGAGGTCTCTAACTGATAGTACGACCACATAAGGTCAAGGTCGGTTCGAGGTTGTGCAAACGAGATCAGTTTACCACAATCGTCTGATGGCCTTTTAGTCAGCTCTTACGTAACACACAAGCCGAATCGGTCATAACGTCAACTCCATGAGAATAAACTTGTCGTCTTCGACATTATTCTTGTGGTTAATTCGATACAAGGCACATATGATGTTACTTCATCAACACGCATTAGAAAGATTAAAGTTAGTCCAAGGTGTCTCATTGCGCATGCATGCTAGTATGATAAAGGGCAGTCGCCGGGACCAGGTCGTCGGCTAGGGGACGACTGTGGGCATAAACTCCTTCTGAGGGGCATCTTATGTACAAAATAGCGGTCAGAGAATGTAAGGCTGGACTCGAGAGCAACTTTTGTCAAAAGTTGCCTTGTGTCTAGATGTACACTTCACCGTATTATTATGCAGCACAGACCCTCTGGAACTGAGGTGAACGAACCCGTATATACGGAGGACAGCCAGCCTTACACTTGATGGGTGTGAAGGCTGCATGAGGTGCATTAGACGCTCCGCTAGACCAGAGCATTGTGCGAAACCAGGGATTTATGCATAAGGAATAAATACTGTTGGTGTTTGACACCTTGAATTCGGTGGAGTCCTAGTGTCGAATCGACCTGTGACTTTTGACGATGTTACACCTGTAGATAAGTTTGGGTCTCCAAAGCTGTGAGAAAGTGTTCACAAGACTTTTTGCATGCACAGTTTTTCATTTCTTTATGCGATGTGACTTTTGAAGGACTGTGGGATATCCGCAAAGAACTGTATAAATAGAAGATGCACTATAATACTGAGCAGCTGGTGTGTGTCTGTGTCTGGTGGCGTCCAACTAAGAGAATCTCCATATCCACACACTGTGTTCCATAAGTCTCCACTCAAATTATGTCTCGGAGTTGCGGATGGGCGCAGTCTTTTGGTTAAGAAAGTAGTATGGAGAACAAGTACACTTTGGCTGGTTTATCGTGGGTTAACAGTGATTTTATTTTTTAAAAGGGCAGAGGATACTTCAGGCACGATGGTCTCAGCCGCTGGAGTTTCGGATAGACTTATTGAGGAACCAGTGGGAAGGGAAGAATTGCCTCCTATTCAAACTAGAAATCTCAGCAATTCGAGAAAACGAATTGCTGAAACGAGTCTCCTCCGGAGGATCTATATGACAAGATTGGGGCTAGCGGTGAGAGAGGAGGATTCTCTTTTCGTCGGGTTTCCTTATTGGATTGCTACAATTTGCCAAACTTGTAATGAACAATAGAATGAATGGACAATATTCTGCATTTCTTTTTAGGTCATTACTAACATAAAGAATATTGTAGGACTGTATAGAAATATATATGAATTTCTTACCTTTCAGGTCTTAAGTGATATTTCTCCGCTTGGAGATATAAGTTGGGTCTTTCTTATCCTAATGTCTTATATCTCATGCTTTGATTCTATTGGGATGTAGTTGGAAAGTAATTTTTACTGTTAAAATCAGTGGTTTTTACGACTATCGATGCACATATGAGTTGGATATTCATAGGGTTGTGGTCATTAGATGGTAGGAATACTGTCCATGATCATGATCATTATCTTTTTGCAACCTATAGCTTCCCATTCTTCACTCAGATCATGTAGATAGTTACATGAAATATAATATTTAACCCTGCTTTGAAATAAGAGTTAAAATTTTAGAACAAAAAACCACTTATGAAACTAGTGATAGACAAACGTATCAGAAAATCAATGCTTTTGGTATAAATAACCTAATAAAAAATCTTCCATTATTAAATCAAGCTTTTTTTTATTTTTTAATCAAATAAATTAATATATACATTATGATATCTTAGATAGCCAAAAGAAGCCTGATCACATATCTTCAATTCTGGCATCCTCAGCTTGTATATATCAAGATTAAATTAAATCTATGCTATTTTTTCCATGTGAAACTTTGTCAAAACATTGAATGATTAACAAAGAGGCCATCTAGCATCTTCATGAAGTGAAACAAAGAGTCTCTAAAATTAACATTATTATGAAAATATCTATTAATAATGCTTATTTCAACTTGAATTCGATTATCTACCATTTTACTTGGTAAATAATCATGGTGAATTGATTAAATATATGAAAATCTTGAAGTGAAAATTGTTGATACAATTGTTCAGCACATGAGAGCATAATTATTAATTCCATCATACTATTTGTGCATCTTTTTATATAGATATTCAACTTAGAGATAAAATTTGGATCCCACATGTACCATGATGTATCACACCCCATTCTAGGTTACATACAGTTTTATTTTTCTTGCAAGAAAAAATTACATGTGTAATAAGAACAAATTTTACTCCAATATTCAATTTTTCACCTCTACAACTACATTAAGCTATATCTCATGAGTTAGTAATAACATCTCTCCAACAATATATTATAGAGTCTGTTTTAGTGGTTTGGAAAAAAAGAATTGTGTCTTCGTTTTCTTTATGTTCACTTTCAACTTGTTGTAAACTGTGATCCCACAATTTTTCAAGACTAATTTGACATCATAATCTACTCTTCATTCTTCTTAAGACTTCCAAGCCCTACGTTTATTTAGCCGGAGCGAAATTATAGATTCTTTGGAGTACAAGAAGCGATGGGTAGGTAGTTCATAGTAGGGAAGTTAGAACGTTAAGAATCTATGTTAGATAATTATGATTCCGTACTTAAGTTTTGTCCATACCGTCTACTCC